AGTCTGAAGGAAGAAAATGCTAAGCTTAGAGAAGAAATGCAACAAATTAAAGAATCGAAAGAAGTTGATAGCAGGCGAATATCACATTTGGAGAACCAAAGCAAGAGGAAAAATATTGTAATCCGCGGCCTAGCTTGTGATGCCAACCAACGGACATTCGATCGTGTAACTCAACTATGCAACGAAGTTCTAAATATTCCAAGCCCACTGCCGATAGCTTCGGTAAGAAAGTTAAGCGAGTACAACGGAAAGGTGAATGTCGTTGTAGAGTTGGACACAGCAAACTCTGTAGAATAGCTGCTTAGTAAAAGTAAAAATCTAAAAGGGTCACAAAACACTTTAGAACGGGATCTTGATGCTGGTAAACTACTACATAAAAAACTTATGTTGATTTTAAAACAGAAAATTCTCACAGTAAGTAAAGTACACAGGGTCAGCGTTAGAAATGAAAAATTAAGAATTGGAGACTACTGGCTAGGGTGGAACAATAAAAATGAACTTGTTTGTAATGATCAAAAAGGCGAAATGGTTTTAAAAATATTGTATAAAGAATTAGCTACAAAAATAGATATTAATTATGTAAATCTTTTAAAAATATTAGAAAAGAAATAGGGACGCGCTGTCTGCGGAGGAAATGAAAATAGTAGTACTAGTAATATAGTTAATAATTTTAGAAACTTTCGTATTTTGTCATACAATATAAACGGTTTAAAAAATAAAATGATCTTTCCAGATTTTTTCGAATTCGTCAAAGGCCATGATATATTTTGTTTTCTAGAAACACATATAGAGGAGAAAGACTTGGAAAACTATAAAAAATTTTTCTCGGGTTTCGAATTACATTTCAAAAAAGCTACTAGAACAAGTCAATTCGGCCGTGCTAGTGGTGGAGAAATGTATGGAATTAAAAAAGAACTAAGGAATGCTGGCTTTATGTATTGCTTTGAAAATATAAATAATATTAACATTATCAACATAAAAACACAATATATAAATTTCAAAATAGTCCCGTTATATCTAAACTGTAACGATTGGGAAAATAATTTCCAACAACTGGCAAATCATCTGGTGGAGGAAAACGTTGAAAATACAATTTTAATTGGCGATTTAAATGTCAGAATAGGAAATATACAGCAAAACATTGAAGAAATATTTTTAAATGAATTTAAATCAGGCGTTGAGTGTAGACAATCAAAAGACGTAGTCGCTAACAGCAGAGGAAAAAAGTTTATTGAGCTGTGCTGTGATTATGGCCAAATAGTGCTTAATGGAAGAACGGCAGGAGACATTGAAGGCAACGTCACATATATAAGTAGTAATGGTTCTGCGGTAAATGACTTATGCACAGTTTCACAAGAAATGCTGACATATGTAGAAACCTTTACAGTAGAAGAAAGAGAATGGTCCGATCATATGCCTTTGGTGATAAGTTTAAAATTGCAATGTGAAATACAACAAAACACGGAACGAAAACTGCTTCCGACCCTCAAATGGAAAGATGCAAATAGGGTTCAATATAGCAAAAAACTTAAGGAAAATATAAGGACAAAGCTGCAAAATAAAACACATCTAGACTTATCAGATTTAACTGATGTTATACTAAAATCTACTCCCAAAATACGAAAATGTAAGGGATTCTATACCAAAAAATCAAAATGGTATAACTTCCGATGCTTTGTCGCGAAGAAAAAAGCTAAACACTTGTTGAGAAAATATAGAAGAACAGAGAGTAGCGCTACTAGAGCGAATTACTTAGAAGCAAATAAGAAATATAAAGATGTATGTCTGAAAAGTAAAGCTGAATATTATAGAAATCTAGAGACACGTATAAACACAATTAAAAATGGCAAAGAATGGTGGAAGCTAGTTAAAGAGCTAAGAAATAGGCCTTTAATAAATGAGGTACGAATTGCACCAAATGAGTTTAAGACACACTTTGAAAATCTTCTTAATCACACGCAAACGGCGAAAGATGTGCATTATGCTCCAAACTTTGTAGAAATAGACGAGCTCGACAAACCTATAATGGTGGGTGAGATATTGCAGGTCTTGAAAAAAGCGAAAGACGGAAAAGCACCAGGTTTAGATAGAATCCCTTACGAATTTTACAAAAATGCAAATACGGAATTTTTAGAGCAACTCGCGAAGGCATACAACCAGATGTACGACTCAGGAAGGGCAGATTCAAGTTCTGAACCGAGTATAATATTTCCAATACACAAGAAGGGAGATAGTTCGGTTGTAACCAATTATAGGGGTGTGGCATTTATGAACACAAAAGAAAAATATTGATGGGTGTGCTCAATGAAAGATTATCCAGTTGGGTTGAAAACAATGACATCATGTCTGAATACCAAGCAGGATTTCGTAAAAACTATTCCACGGTTGACAACCTATACAATCTAACATCCATCGTAAAGTTGAAATTTAATGAAAAAAAGAAAGTATACGCTGTGTTTATAGATCTAAAGGCGGCTTTTGATAAAATCGCTAGAAAATTACTTATGTACAAACTGAGGAGTATAGGCGTTTCAAGCAAATTTGTAGATTTTATTGAGTAGATTTACGAGACGACAAATTCGGTAGTTTGGAACGGAAGCGAAGTATCCGACAGTTTTAGCACAATTTCTGGTGTCAAACAAGGTTGTTTGCTTTCCCCCCTTCTGTTTGCGTTATATCTCAACGACTTACATGATTATTTGGACGGTGGTTTGCAGGTGGAAGAACTGAATATAAGGTTGTTGTTATATGCAGATGATATAGTCATCTTGTCCGATGATGCAGAAACGCTACAGAAAATGATATGGAATCTTGAAACATACTGCGACAGTTGGAATTTAGAGGTAAATTTAGCCAAATCGGCAGTCATGGTGTTTAGAAAAGGCGGTAGGCTGCCTAGTAGAGAAAGGTGGACATACAAAGGGGAAGTGCTTAAAATAGTCGCTGAATATACATATTTAGGGGTAACGCTCACGCCAAAAATGATATTTAAAAAACACCTGGAAAACAGGAATATATCTGCAAAATCAAGCATAAATGCCACTTGGAGTACGTATTTAAATAACGATAAAATTTCAATCAGGGCAAAGTGGCAAATGTTCAATGCAATTTGTAGAGCCATACAAGGCTATGCGGCGCAAATTTGGGGGAGTGACATGTTTAGCGAAATAGACAAATTACAATGCTACTTCTTCAAAAGAATTTACAGGCTTCCCAATTTCACTCCAACCTACGCCATAATGCTGGAATCAAATATGGAAAGCGGGCATTTGTACACAATGGACTTGCATTTAAGATACGTCTACAAGACTTTGTTTGAATATAATGAAAGGAGATTGCCAAGAATATTGTCACAAAAAGTTCTGCAAAAACATGTATTTTGGGCGGAGAGACTAAACGTTTTGGGAAATGAGGCAAGCCTAGTTTGGAATGATGAAACAACAAGCCAAGAATGGAAGAACAATAATTTCGTATTATTAAATCACTTAAAAGTGGAAAACAGAGTAAAAATGTGGCGAAAAGCATTGAGAAGTGAAAGCCGAATTTATAAGTACCTAGACCATAACTTAGGGGCTCAATATTTTACAGAAAGCTTCAGTCGTGCGCACATAATGTGGATTTTTAAGGCGAGATGCGACTTAATTCATTTAGATGGCAAATACAATAGAAACTGTACACTGTGCAATCTCAATGAAACGGAAAGCATACAGCACTTCTTAGGCCGCTGTCCTGTATTAAGGCCGTTTAG